TGAACACCTGAAAATTGTAAAAAGCTCATAATTAGAACTTTTCCTACACCGAAAGATGCACTTTCTTAAAGTATTTAATTTAAAGAAGGCGTAATTTGCTATCAAACGAGTACAAGAAATAATTTTTTCCTGCATGTTTTCCAAAAAATATATTTGTGTCTATAAAGGCAGTCAAAATCAATGACAAAAAGGCATACTACTTAAATAGCTACTTTTAATAGTACATGCTTTTACTTAACGGCCAAAAAGAAGCTCATTAGAAGCCGGCATCGTGATTTGACCAACATTTATTGAATTTAGGCTGCGCGATCGTCATTTTTAAAACCATGCGTAATTAACATGTCGATTGCCTTCGTTTCCCCTCCTATACTGGCTTTGGCAACAACAGTCTGGCAAGCCCACAGTTCGCGTCAATTACAATCGCCAGACGCATGTCATAACAAGCCATCAAAATCTACGAATATCAACCTAGTAGTGAATACCGAGGTCATTTGTCCTCTTCTTTTTTGGTCCAAATCTATTCAGGACGGAACACTCACCTTCTGGTCACCCGATCTGAAAATCACTAAGCAACGTTCATTGGCCTTTGATGGCGGAACCAATCGTCTTACTCCAAAGTGGTACACTGACTTCCTCTTCCTCAACGACATTAGCAAATTTGTTTCAAGCACAGGGTACGTAGGCTTCATCTCAACCACCTTTTTGCTCTTTGTGGTGTTAACATGAATTGTTTTTACTCCTCTGCAGGGACAGAGAACTGGAGTTCTACGAGATGACTACGTTTGCAGCTTACTGTCGCATCGTAGGGTTGGACACTGTTCCCGTTTGTCTGACTTGGGGGTAAGCTATCCGGGGGTAATAATTTTTTTTTCAAGTTCCGTAAATATTCCCATGGCTAATTTTAAAAGTCAGTTTATGGCAAACGTATGTTTTTCAGCTGTACATAACATTTAGAGTTTTAATATGCAGGAAAATCAATAACTGTCTAACATGGGCGCTGATTGGCCACTGCGGACTATGTCAGTTTGCGCAAGTAGGGCAGATCAGCGTGTTGGTTGAGAGCATGCCGCTAGTTGGTAGGGGCGAAATGCGGTCAGCGTAGGCCACGGAAGTGTAAGGACTTGTGTCAGCGTCTTCTGACAACACAGCACTTGATTTGCTAGCCGTATAGCTACTGTTTCAGCTGTTGCGAGCATCTGTTGGCTTAGGCCTTTAGAAAAGTTAACTGGTTTCCGGTAGACAACCTGAAAGGCCTTATTGGCATCGACTCGATGATTCTTATCGACAAGGTGTGTCACACATTTTTAGTGCTTCGGTAGGCATTGGCCATGTAGCAGTGGAATCCGCAGGAAACGCCAGGTGGTTAAAAAGAGAGCCCTGTTTTCATAGACCCTCAACTGATACTAAGGTGGAGTACTCAAAAGCATTGTGACCTAGTTTTAAACCCAAATTCAACTAGTAATGTTCTTAGGGCTTCGACAGGCCGATCAAGTACTTTTCCTTACGGTAGATAATAACCGAAATTCGAAAATGTTAAATAATATTGTCGGCAAAGAGAAGGGAAACTGGAATGACCATTTCTGGCTCATTAGCCGTCGTCATCCAGTCATACCCAGATTCAAGTGGTGTACAACCCAAGCCTTAAACTCGCGACCCTTTTTGGTCAGAGTCAAACGCCCTAACCCTTCAGCCACGAGCTCGTTGGCTTGCCGGTTTAGGTCAGGGGATATTGAGACTCCTTGATAAACGTTCACCTAAGTACTAACGAGAATTATCTGTCCCGCTATGCCTTGAGTCTCGACAGAGGCCCTGACAGCCGTAGCAGGTGAAAGTAAGCGGGTAGAATTTTCGGCAGAGACAAGGGAGAGTGGAATAGCCGTTAGTGGTCAGGTGAACGTTCATCAATGAGTGTCAATATCCCCTGACCTTAACCGACG